AAACATCAAAAACCCAATGGTTTTTTAAGAAAAAATTGTCAAAATGTCCTTCCGCGCGCGCTGTCCGAATCCCACAAAACCAATGGTTTTTCAACATTTATGTTACATGAGCTCGCGCGAGCTACTTTTTCTTGTTCTAACATAATCAAATTTCAATAATCCCTTGCAAAAAATAAGGTAAAGTGGACATTCGCGCGCGCAAGACGAAATCCTTCCAGAACCTTAGGTTTCGTAACGATTTCAACATAAAAACATCAAAAAAACCCACTGGTTTTTCAAAAAAAAAATGTCCAAATTTCATTCCGCGCGCGCTGTCCGACTCTGGTTTTTCAACATTTATGTTACATGAGCTCGCGCGAGCTACTTTTTCTTGTTCTAACAGAATCAAATTTCAATACTCCCTTGCAAAAAAAAAAGTAAAGTGGACATTCGCGCGCGCAAGACCAACAAAAAACACGACGATCTCAGGAACTTGCCCCAAAAATGTGACCAACTCCGCTCTCTCTGTCTCTCTCTCTGTCTGCTCTCTGTCTCTCTCTCTGTCTGTCTGTGTCATGTATTGTATGTCACAATTGCAGGATGCTGGGCACACGCGCGCCCCGAATAAGTGACCAAGTTCTGTGGGTGTGTACCCCACGCCAGTGTAGTAGCCACGGTCGTCCGCACGCCACGAAGTGAAGTGTCCCAACGTCATAGGGCGGGAAGCTGGGTTTGGGTGGTCGCGAAGAGTCGTTTGGATATTTGGTAGAGCTTGAACTGCCCCCCCACGAAGTGGGGGTATTGTCTCGCGTCGCATGAAAACCCTGGCACTGGTGAGAACACTGAGCGTTCGGGTAAAATGATTGTTGTTGTTGTTGTTGTTGTTGTTGTTGTTGTTGTTGTTGAACATTATTAATTCTAAAGAATAATTATTGTTGGGGCCCCTGGTGCACGGCCCCCCCGCCGCGCCTAGGCCGCAGCTACATTTTCATCATTTTTTCGCGAAAGCTTCAGAAAAGTGGATGGGGTCCAGATCCGGTTGTTTTGTTGTAATCCGTTTTCCCTTGCGAAAAACACTATAAAATGACATTTCTTGTTCTAATATAATCAAATTTCAAGAATCCCTTGCAAAAAATAAGGTAAAGTGGACATTCGCGCGCGCAAGACGAAATCCTTCCAAAACCTTAGTGTTCGCAGCGATTTTAACATAAAAACATCAAAAAACCAATGGTTTTTCAACAAAAAAATTGTCAAAATCTCATCCCGCGCGCTCTTGCGGATTCGTAGGAAACCCAACACTTTTTAAACATTTCTGTCAAACGGGCTTTTGCGAGCAACTTTTTCGAACTTCTGCGACAACGGTTGCGCACCTGCCAGGGCCATCATCCCTGTCAAATAATACCATGCGGGACACATTCGTTTTTTCTTCGCGCGCGCACGCCGTCGTCGTCGGCCGCGGGGCCCTGAATAGTAGCCACGGTCGTCCGCATGCCACGAAGTGAAGTGTCCGAACGTCATAGGGCGGGAAGCTGGGTGTGGGTGGTGGCGAAGAGTCGTTTGGAAATTTGGTAGAGCTTGAACCGGCCCCCCCACAAAGTGGGGGTATTGCCCGCCTCCTATGAAAACCCTGGCACTGGTGAGAACGGAGTGTCCCCAGTGCTTAATTGTTGTTGAACATTATTAATTCTAAAGAATAATTATTGTTGGGCCCCCTGGTGCGCGCCCCCCCGCCGCGCCTAGGCCGCAGCTACATTTTCATCATTTTCGTGAGGAAGCCTCAGAAAAGAGGGTGTGTCAGATCCGGTTGTTTTGTTGTAATCCGTTTTCCCTTGCAAAAAACACTATAAAATGACATTTCTTGTTCTAATATAATCAAATTTCAAGAATCCCTTGCAAAAAATAAGGTAAAGTGGACATTCGCGCGCGCAAGACGAAATCCTTCCAAAAGCTTAGTGTTCGGAGCGATTTTAACATAAAAACATCAAAAAACCAATGGTTTTTCAACAAAAAAATGTCAAAATCTCATCCCGCGCGCTCTTGCGGATTCGTAGGAAAACCAACACTTTTTAAACATTTCTGTCAAACGGGCTTTTGCGAGCAACTTTTTCGAACTTCTGCACAACGGTTGCGCACCTGCCAGGGCCATCATCCCTGTCAAATAATACCATGCGGGACACATTCGTTTTTTCTTCGCGCGCGCACGCCGTCGTCGTCGGCCGCGGGGCCCTGAATAGTAGCCACGGTCGTCCGCATGCCACGAAGTGAAGTGTCCGAACGTCATAGGGCGGGAAGCTGGGTGTGGGTGGTGGCGAAGAGTCGTTTGGAAATTTGGTAGAGCTTGAACCGGCCCCCCCACAAAGTGGGGGTATTGCCCGCCTCCTATGAAAACCCTGGCACTGGTGAGAACGGAGTGTCCCCACGTGCTAGTAATTGTTGTTGTTGTTGTTGTTGTTGTTGTTGTTGTTGTTGTTGTTGTTGTTGTTGAACCTTAATTACTAAACAATTATTATTGTTGGACCCCCTATATTCGCCCTGGCGCTCTCGCCGAGGCGCCGGCCGCATTTCCTCTGAAATTGAGGCTCACGCTCAGGCGTTTTGGGGTTCCGCCAAAACCGGCCCCCCAACAACAACAACGCTCCGGCTCGAGACTTCCTCCTTTTTTACTCGGGCTCGGTGCTCTTGCTCGCCGCCGAGAGCGGCTCCCGGGCCGGACGCCCGGGTCGGCGCCCGAGCCGGCGCCCGGGCGCCGGAAAATCGAGTTCCGAGGCGGCGCCGAAAAAAGGCCATTCCAATACACATTTTTCTTTTCGAAAATGTTGAATTTCTGCTTCCGGCGCCCGGGAGGGAGGCCGTCCGGGCCGATTCCGGAGCTCGGGCCGGCACCCGGCCCGGCTCCCGGGCCGGACGCCCGGGTCGGCGCCCGAGCCGGCGCCCGGGCGCCAGAAAATCGAGTTTCGAGGCGGCGCCGAAAAAAGGCCATTTCAATACACATTTTTCTTTCGAAAATGCTGAATTTCTGCTTCCGGCGCCCGGGAGGCCGTCCGGGCCGATTCCGGAGCCTGGGCCGGCACCCGGCCCGGCTCCCGGGCCGGACGCCCGGGTCGGCGCCCGAGCCGGCGCCCGGGCGCCGGAAAATCGAGTTCCGAGGCGGCGCCGAAAAAAAACCATTCCAATGCACATTTTTTTTCGAACATGCTGAATTTCTGCTTCCGGCGCCCGGGAGGCCGTCCGGGCCGATTCCGGAGCTCGGGCCGGCACCCGGCCCGGCTCCCGGGCCGCACGCCTGGGTCGGCGCCCGAGCCGGCGCCCGGGCGCCGGAAAATCGAGTTCCGAGGTGGCGCCGAAAAAAGGCCATTCCAATACACATTAATATTTTTCTTTCGAAAATGATGAATTTCTGCTTCCGGCGCCCGAGAGGCCGTCCGTGCCGATTCTGGAGCTCGGGCCGGCACCCGGCTCGGCTCCCGGGCCGGACGCCCTGGTCGGCGCCCGAGCCGGCGCCCGGGCGCCGGAAAATCGAGTTCCGAGGCGGCGCCGAAAAAAGGCCATTCCAATACACATTTTTCTTTCGACAATGCTGAATCTCTGCTTCCGGCGCCCGGGAAGCCGTCGGGGCCGATTCCGGAGCTCGGGCCGGCACCCGGCCCGGCTCCCGGGCCGGACGCCCTGGTCGGCGCCCGAGCCGGCGCCCGGGCGCCGGAAAATCGAGTTCCGAGGCGGCGCCGAAAAAAGGCCATTCCAATACACATTTTCCTTCTTCGAAAATGCTGAGTTTCTGCTTCCGGCGCCCGGGAGGCCGTCCGGGCCGGTTCCGGAGCTCGGGCCGGCACCCGGCCCGGCCGGCACCCGGCTCGGCTCCCGGGCCGGACGCCCGGGCAGTTCCGATCGCATTCCAATACACATTTTTCTTTCGAAAATGCTGAATTTCTGCTTGCGGCGCCCGGGAAGCCGTCCTGGGCCGATTCTGGAGCGGCTTTGGGCCGGACGCCCGAGCCGGCGCCCGTACGTGGTGCTTCTCTGCTTCTGGCGCCTGCGCAGCTTCCCGAGCCGCTTCTGGAACCATATCTGGGCCGGTCCAGCGATAGGTTTCCTGGATGTGCTGAACCATCCAACTTTTTGAGACTTCTGCGTCTCAAGGATAAGGAGAGAAGACATTAAAGGAGGATCAAAAAGCAACGTCGCTATGAACGCTTGGCTGCCACAAGCCAAGTTCTACTTACTTGGACTACTACTACCGTTGCCACTACTACTAGTGCTACAGCCGCAACAACAATATCATCAACTGCTGCTACTACAACTACTCATCCTTCCTCCCCCTCCTCCCCCTCCCTTCTCCTCCTCCCCCTCCCTATCTCTCTCATCTCCCCCTCCTCTTCCTCTTCCTCTCCCTCTGAGATGCGGGGCATGCGCAAGGCGATTGCGAAGGCGATGTGCCGTCCGAGCTATGGATGTTGAAGTTCCTCGGAAGAGGTGGTGGCCAAACCTTCTTGGGCGGGATATCTGGGTGAGGGAATATCGGATCCCGCATGCCAGAAAAATCCCCCATGATGGGGTGTGTTATCCAGATGGATGCATGTGTCATGTGGAAGCATGGCGCATGAGGGTAAAATGATTGTTGTTGTTGTTGTTGTTGTTGTTGTTGTTGTTGTTGTTGTTGTTGTTGCTTTCGGCCCTTTGTTAGATGATGTTTATGTCATTGCTTGTTCCCCTAAGCAAGAAAGCCCCGCCCCATGCTTACTCCCCCTGACATTTCTCGAGGGTCCGCGGCGCGCGCGCGTGCGGGGGGTTGGGGGGCCAAACGAAGGGGAGGAGGGTGGAGAGATGATTTTTGTTTTTTTTTTAAGTCGGGCGTGTCCTTCGACAGGAGGAACATTCAAAAATAGTCAAGCAAATAGTCTGGGGACGACTTTTGATTTTTGAGAATATTTTGTTTTTTGACTATTTTTCATTTGTCCCCCCAAATCCCCCTGTAGGAGGGCATGCCCGCCCTAATCCTCGTTGTCCTCGTCCTCGTTCCACAGGTCCACCAGGGCATCTGCGCCTGCACCAAGAAGTCCCTGGAGAGTGCGGACGATCTCGCCAGGCCAGGCTCTCATACAGAGGGGTCACCCAGGGCAGGAGGGATGCTGGTGCTCCACCCACACCCATTTGTCCTCCCTCCCTTCCTCCCTTCCTTCCTCTTTTTTCCCTCCTTGCCCCTAGGGTTCAATTTGTAGGACGCCGGTGTTGCGTCCACCGTGCCTCTGGTGGCCCCCCAGGAAATTGGGCCCACCAACGGGTTCAGTCTCCCACGCGTTTACAGTGCATTTCAAGACCCTCTATCCCTAGTCTTCCCTTCTCTCCCTTCACTGTCGAGGGATGGGGAGGGTGCGGATGATGATGTTGCTACTGCTGCTGCTGCTGATGATATTGATGATGCTGACGATCATGATGATTATGATAATGATGATCATGTGGATGCCGATGATGATGATGATGATGATGATGATGATGATGATGATGATGATGATGATGATGATGATTTTGATGATGATGATGATGATGATGATGGTGCTGATGATGATGATGACGATGCTGCTGATGCTGATGATGACGCTGATGATGATGACGATGATGCTGCTGCTGACGATGATACTGACGATGCTTATGCTGACGATTATGATGATACTGCTGCTGATGATGATGATGGTGATGCTGACGATTTTGTTGCTGCTGATGATGCTGATGCTGGTGATGCTGATGATGCTCATGCTGCTGATGATGATGACGATGATGCTGATGATGCTGATGGTGATGCTCTCAATGATGAGGATGATGAGGATGATGATGAAGATGATGATGATGATGATGATGATGATGCTGATGCTAATTATGATGCTGAGGATTTTGACGATGATGGCGATGATAGTGATGATGATGACGATGATGATGATCATGCTGATGATGATGATGATGATGATGATGATGATGATGATGATGATGATGATGATCATCATGATGATGCTGATGCTGCTGATGATGATGAGGATGAGGCTGATGATGATAATTAGTGCTGATGATGCTGCTGATGATGATGATGATGCTGATGATGCTGAGGATGATGATGATGATGATGATGATGATGATGATGATGATGATGATGATGATGATGATGATGATGATGCTGATGATGATGATGATTATGATGATGATGATGATGATGATGAGGATGATGATGTTTTTAACGATGCTGATGCTGCTGATGCTGATGATGATGCTGATGATGATGACGATGATGATGCTGCTGCTGCTGATGATGATGATGCTGATGATGATGATGATGTTGCCCGTTGGTGTGGTGAGGGTGGTGCTGTGCTCTGATGATGCTGCTGATGATGATGGTAATGCTGATGAGGATGAGGATGAGGATGAGATGATTTGATGCTGCTGCTACTGTTGCTGATGTTGCTGATGATGCTGATGATGATGATGATGATGATGATGATGATGATGATGATGATGAGTATGATGATGATGATGATGATGATGATGATGATGATGATGATGATGATGATGATGATGATGATGATGATGATGAGGCTGCTGCTGCTGCTGCTGCTGATGATGATACTGATGGTGGTGGTGGTGGTGGTGCGGATGATAATGGCGGTGGTGCTGACGACTATACGGATTACACTGGGGAAGATACGTTTGCAGTGGCCATCGCCGATTGCGACTGTTATTAATAAGATGATGATGGTCCAGATGATGACGAACACGCTGATGGTAGGATGGTGATCATGACGCGGTTGTTGCTGCGGGTGTATGAGAACATGATGATTCGGAGTAGCATGCGCGTGAGAGCAATGGTTGTGGATGATTCGCGGGGATTTAGCTTGCTTTCGGAAGACGAGTTGGCGCAGCAGGTGGAGTTGACAGGCGCAGTTTTCGAGGTGGAACGGGTACAACGAGGATGACAGTTGTTCTTTAGGACATCCACTGCATGGTTGTGTGTGGCCCTGTCGGGCTGCCGGCAATACGTTGCACTCATACAAAGGGCCAACACCATAGGGCTCCGTCCTCTAGCCAGACCACGGAACTAGCTCGAGGTTCTGAATACTATGTGTTGAGGCACTGTGTGCAGGTGTGCGTGTCCACAGTGACCCGCCAACCTCTGCCTGCTGTAATCAGGGAGGTGGCCCTTGCAAAGAGCCTGTCAAGCATTGCGGGCAGCACGAGCAGGAGGGGTGATTCAAGGAGCCCCCAGCCATCGGGATGGAGGCGCCATGGCTGTGACACTTCCACCTGCAGCATCTGAACAGCACGGATCCGCCCGAGCAATCAACAGCAACAGTGCGCAGGCCTAGAGCGTTTTGCTCCGAGGCGTGCAAGCGCGATGGCTCTATGCAGTGGCCTGGGAGGCTTGTCGAAGGAACGCCCGCCTCGAAGACACTTGGCGCACCTCCAGGCGCCTGACCACCACTCCGAGCGGTGACCAGGGTGATCCTCCTCACAGGTCTGGCTGGCTTCTGGCGCCACTCACGGGCATCCAGGCAAGTCTAACCTAGGCCAGAGACGAAACACATTCGCCGCAAATGCGCACA